TGTGGGACCCGTAGCAACGGTTTCTGTGCTCGGCATAAGAGTGGAAGATGAAATTCTACCCAGAAGTGACGTGAAAACATAGGTGGTGCTGAACGGAGACGTAGTGGTTGTGTCCAAAGACACTGAAAGCGTGGGAGTGACTGAGGAAGTGACTGTGGGAGTAGTGGTCATTGTGTGTGAGAGAGATTCGGTAGAAACGTCAGTGGTAGGAGGCCATGTGGTTTCACCAGTGGACGTGTCACTGGGGGTGGGAGAGGTCATGTGCTTGGTTGCAGTGGCAGCTGGAGTGGGTGTAGGCGGTGCTGTGGATGAGGATGTGGTTAGAGAGTCTGTGCTGGTGGGAGTCAGGGTGGATCTCCCTGTTGTGTGGAGTGTACCGGTGATGGCTGGAGCTGAGGAGAAGCTCTCTGTGTCAGTGGCCCTGGAGCTGCTGGCAGAGGCGGAAGAGGAGAATGCAGATGTCACTGGAAAGCCAGTCAAGTGGGTACTTGTCTCAGTGTTCTCAGTGCTTGTGAGAGTAGTTCTCACAGTGGCAGTGCAGGCAGGGGATGTGCTACCATGGGAGGAGGTCTCTGTCATCTCTACTGTTGGGGAAGATGGAACGATACTTGTGGACNGGGCCGTCGTGGGGTTGCTGGAAATGGAGTGTGTGTTTGAAGAAGTGAAGCTGGGAGTGCTCTGTGATGTTGTCACATTGGTTATTGTTACCGGATCACTGGCAGCAGTGGTGGCTGTTTCTGTAGTTGGCTGATAGAGGGAGGTGGGAGTGGGAGTGGTGGCAGTGGCAGGTGTGTGCCTTGTCATGGTGGCAGTGGTGATTTCAGTTGTGGACCGTGTCAGAGCACTGCTGGGAGGAGTGGGGTAGGTGATGTCAGAAGTAGAGGTCGGCCTGGCACTGGTACTAGGGAGTGCGGTCACCAAGGTGGGTAAAGGGGTGGAGTATGTGGGACCCGTAGCAACGGTTTCTGTGCTCGGCATAAGAGTGGAAGATGAAATTCTACCCNAGCTGAGGGCCGTCGTGGGGTTGCTGGAAATGGAGTGTGTGTTTGAAGAAGTGAAGCTGGGTGTGCTGTGTGATGTGGTCACATTGGCTTTTGTTACCAGATCAGTGACAGCAGTGGTGGCTGTTTTTGTAGATGGCTGATAGAAGGAGGTGGGAGAGGGAGAGGTGGGTTTGGGAGTGGTGGTCGTAGCAGGTCTGTGCACTGTCATGGTGGCAGTGGTGATTTTAGTTGTCGTCTGTGTCAGAGCAGTACCAGGAGGAGTGGGGTAGGTGGTAGCAGATGCAGGGATTGACCTGGCACTCGTCGTCGGCAGTGTGGTCATCAAGCTGTGTAAAGTTCTGTTGTTTGTTGTTCCATTGCTGAAGGTTGTTCTACTCGGGACAGGCGTAGGTGATGAAGTTCTCCTGCTGAGTGATGTGAAAGCACTGGTGGTACTGTCAGGAGATTCATTGTTTGTCCTCGAATTCACCGAATCTGTGGGAGTGAATAACGAAATGATTGTTGAAATAGTTGTAATTGTCGTCAACAGAGATTCTGTAGGAACTTCAGTTGTCGGGGGCC